ACAGACAGACACACACACTCACAGACTCACAAACACACACACAGGCGGTGTCATGAATGGAAACAGGAGAACACAGTGAATGATTATTTTGCGTTGGTGTTGTGTTGGAATGATCTGAAAATGAGTTTCCATCAGAAAGTTGAACGTCAGCTCAACTCTGAACAATTCTGAAAATAAAAAACATAATTAACAATCAGTTTTTAATGTGAAACGTTCAAACACTTCGGATGTTTCATGATGGAGGTTCTTCTGTCCGTCACCTGATCCTCAGTTAAATATTATGAAGAACTTTCTTTAAACCCTCAACATGTTAACAACACGTGTTGTTCTCAGCCTCCGTGTTGTTAACATGTGAAGTTCTAACTCTCTGGACCGTCTGAGGAGCACACGGACATTTTGACAGTGAACGTTTGACGTCAGCTGATGGTTCAGTTTCTGACTTTTAATTAAACTGCAGATGAAGAGTTGGTTACCACGGTGATCCTCGTCTCTGTGATCCGAGGTTAAGAACCGACAGATGAACACTGTTGACATGCTACACTAATGAGGTGTGTGTGTGTGTGTGTGTGTGTGTGTGTGTGTGTGTGTGTGTGTGTCAGGATTTTATTTTCACATTGTTCTTCCTTTGTGTTCTCACAGTTTCTGACTGATCACTTTCAAATAAACAATAAAACCTTCGACTATAATTTAGTTGTGTTTTTATAAAACTCAATTGTTGAGTTAACATCAGTCGAATGAAAATGAATCAGCTGAAGTTGTTTCAGTAATTCCTTGGAGCAGAACTCTTCTTTGATCTCTTTGATCATTAGAAACTGAATCGTCACATTGTAAAGAAATAAAAAGTCACATTTGTCTGATGAACCATCTCGTCAGTAACTGGAGCTTGTTTAACGCTGACGTGTGTGTTTCCAGTTGTTCGGGGTCGTCATCATGGGCTTCGGACTGTGGCTACTTCTGGACAATCAGAGCTTCATCGTCGTCCTCAGTAAGTTCATCACAGTTAACGTCGTTTGTCTTTCAGTGAAACACACGAACGCTCCGACTCCGTCGCTGCGTGTTCCAGTGACGTTATGTCTTTGATTTCTGCTTCTTCTTCATTTCACTGGATTTTCTGTCTTTGTGCTGAAGACGAGATTAAAGCTTTCAAAGCTCTTTCCTGGAGTCAGCGTCATGATCACTGAGGCAAAACACAAGAAGCCAAAACAGATTCTGAATCTAAATGTTTCCAGTGGAACCTTCGCTCTGTGTGTGTGTGTGTGTGTGTGTGTGTGTGTGTGTGTGTGTGTGTGTGTGTGTGTGTGTGTNTGTGTGTGTGTGTGTGTGTGTGTGTGTGTGGATGATGTATCTGTAACTGAGATACAGTTACAGTTAAACTAAATCTGTTACCTGACATGTTCCCGGACGTGTTCCCTGGCATGTCCCTGACATGTTCTGTATGTGAGAACTAACGTCTGAGTCAGGGTCTCATGTTCTGGATCTTTTCCTGGTTTGAGTATTTTGAGGAGTCTGACTGGATCGATCTTCTTCTTCACATGAGAAACAAACTGTTTTCAGAATTCATCTCAGTTTTCAGAAAGACGAGAGAAAGTCAAACTTTTGTTCCTGGAACTTGAAACATCAGAATAAAGTGGTCGACAGGTTGGACGCTCTTCTCCGTCGCTCCTCCTGACTGATGCTTTCCAGCCTCGTCCTGTGGATCACTTCAGGTTCTGAGATATTTTCCGTCACGCTGGATTTGTTCTTGGACCATTGTTGTGTTTTTGAAACCAGACTCTCCTGACGGACTGCACAACATCTGTATCCAGAATGTTTCCAGACTCTTGTTTAACAGCTGGCAAAGGTTTTTCTTTGCCCTCAACGTTTTCTCGTCCTCCAGATCTTCACCTTCACACTTTTCTAAGTAATGAAACAACCTTAGACTCTCAGTAAGAAATGAAAGTATAGAACTAGAGCTGCAATTAACTTTTAAATTATTATTCAAACTTCAACCTTGAATCTTTGATTTCTTCAGGATTAGTTCCTCCACATTTAAAAACATCGTTTTAATCGTTGTTATTTTACAGTAAAAAGACATTTGATGTCTTTCATGATGGTTCATGGATTTATTTATTTATTTCAATGATTTTTAACGTTTTAGTAAAGATGAAGTCCAGTTTTTAAAATCCTCGTTCTGATGTGGGAACTGTGAGTTCATCATAGTGAGAGAAAGAAGGGATGAAGAAGAGAAAGAGACGAGCAGTGTCAACGAGACAGAAAAGCACAGAGACGCCTGAAGATACAGAAATATAGAGACAGACATTGAGCGAGTGTAATAGAGACTGTGTGTGTGTGTGTGTGTGTGCGCGCGTGTGCGTGCATGTGTTTGTGCATGTGTTTGTGTTTGTGTGTTTACTCTGAACACTGAGTGTCACTGAGGACATTTGTCCGTCGTCCTCTGCAGGTGTCCTCCCCACAGACACTGGGCTCTTTCTGCTCCGTCCAGCATCAGCATGCATCACATCAGCCCAGTGCGCTCACTGCCTTACTCATCACCACACACACACACACACACACACACACACACACGCACACAGACAGACACACACACACACAGAGACACACACACAGATGCAGTCATACGGAGCGTTAAAGTACAGTGGACAGTTTAGCTTTGTGTCTGAACATAAATGAGACGTATTGAAGGAGGCGTCGTCAGTTGTGTGGTGATCACATGATCTCAGTGTGTCTGTGGTGAACGGACGATGAAATCAGCCCGATGCTCCGACTCTCTAGAGACCGAGCTGAGTCACAGTCGAACACGGAGTTCACACGTGATGGAAACAAGATGGACGATGGCGTCAGTAGAAAACTTCTCAGTGTGTTTGATGATCTTCAACTGTAACAACGTGATGAGTGAATGAATTAATGATTCATTGTTCAAGCTGGAGACGCTGTGTCCCCGGAGAACTGTGTCTTCATGTAGTTGTGTTGTGTCTTCCTGTAGTTGTGTTGTGTAGTTGTGTTGTGTCTTCATGTAGTTGTGTTGTGTCTTCCTGTCGTTGTGTTGTGTAGTTGTGTTGTGTCTTCCTGTCGTTGTGTTGTGTAGTTGTGTTGTGTCTTCCTGTCGTTGTGTTGTGTAGTTGTGTTGTGTTGTGTTTCCAACATGTTTTACCATAAAGAGACAATCATGAAACCATGATTGTCTTTAATGAGCGTCCTCAGATATGTCCTGTGTTAACACAACCTGTGAGGCTCTGCTGGTCCTGACCTGCACACGTGCACATATGTGTTAATGCACATGGGCACACACACACATACACACACACACACACGCACACATGCAGACATTCCCCCCTCCCCCCCTTAGCCTATTTTCCATCAGAAACTCTTTCCCTCGTTTCTCTTTGTCTCGGCTCGTGGCTCCGTGCCCCAGTTCACCGTCACCCTCGGTGGGGTTGGGATGGGGGTGGGGTGGGGGTGGGGAGCTCACTTCCTGACAGTTTGCTGCTTGTTCACAAACTCGTGTCTGTTTGTGTTTGACTTTGAAGAACAAAGGAGAGAATCTGTGAACGTGTCAGGTCTTTAAATTCTACAGTTCTCAACGTTCATGATAAAGTGAATCTGGTCCTGATGAATCTGAATCTGGTCCTGATGAATCTGGTCCTGATGAATCTGGTCCTGATGAATCTGAATCTGGTCCTGATGAATTGTTCGTCCAACACAGTGTCACCAGTCATCAATAAAAAAATCCATAAGAATCAATTAATGACAGAACAGCTCATTAAGTTTACGTCACCAGCCAAGAGAAAGACGTTATAATAGAGAAATCCATCTGCAGCCTCTTGTGGCTGAAATGAGTATTACAAAAACAAACCGTCGTAGCGTTGTTGAAACTCTAATATTCTAATATACTCTATATAAACTCTAATATTCTAATATACTCTATATAAACTCTAATATTCTAATATACTCTATATAAACTCTAATATTCATGGATGATGGGTTTTGAACATTTCTTTGCTTTATTCCATCGGACTCATGAGAAGTTAAACTTTTGCACTGATCAGCAGGTCAGGTGTATTTTCAGAAACGTGTTTTTATATTTGATGCACATGAATATAAATAGTATTTGTATAGATACAGATGTGTATTGTCCTCACACTCACTCTCTGTGTAACAAGACTTTAAAATGTGTCCGGTGGTTTGTTTCTCCACAGATAACTCCACAGCTGTTAAAGTGGCCTGTTACATCCTGATCGGAGTCGGAGCGTTCTCCATGCTCATGGGATTCCTCGGCTGCTTGGGGGCCATTTATGAGATCCGCTGTCTGCTCGGCCTGGTGAGTGACGGCCGCTGTGTGTCTGTGTGGAAAGTTCATTATGACGCCATGACGAGGAACACGGGTTTGATACCAGAGATTTAAATGTTTTCATCAGAGGTCAGAGTGTTCGAACAGTGACCACCTGACAAACAACCATCGTCTGTTCTTATTATTAGTGTTTAATTATTTCAATCTGCGTCAAACCGTCTCAAATAGAACGGATGTTTCCAGGCGAGGTAGAGTGGCAGACTAACACACCGGGGGGGGGGGGGGGGGGGGGTGGATGAGGAATGAGGAAATGAGCCAGTTTCATGATGAAGGACCATGTGACTCACTGAGGTGTTTTCACACACACACGCACACACACACACACACACACACACACAGCTGTACATGTTGTCATGATGTGCAGTTCTAGATGTTTCCTCCTCATCTGTTCCTCCTCCTCATCTGTTCCTCCTCCTCCTCCTCCTCCTCCTCCTCAGTACTTCACCTGCCTCCTGCTGATCCTTCTGGCTCAGATCACCGCCGGCGCTCTCATCTACTTCCAGAAGGACGGGGTGAGTGACATCACTTCCTCTTCATTCAGAACATAACACATCACCAGGTGATCTGGAACTTCTGGAATGTGGAGGTTTGCAGCGCTCTTGTTTTCTGATTGGCTGCTGGGTCCACCCGCGATGTGTTGTAACACGCCATCACAGGTGTGTGTGTGTGTGTGTGTGTGACAGAAGAGTTTTAATCTATAGCGTTCGGCACTACATCGCCCCCTGCTGTTCAGCCTCAGGCATTTTTTGCATAAACAAGTTTGCCAATTTACTTTTCAAAAAATCTTCTTTTCTAAAACTAGTTTCAAATGTTGTCTTTATATTATGTAGGTAAGTGTGTTTTATAAATTTGAGGTGACATAAAAATGAAAACCTTTCCAGGGTCAACAATCTGTTTTACTGACTCTTTATCATCTCATCAGAAATATACAAGAACAACCAGTCAGATGATGATTCACGATTCTTCTTATGACATTTATGGAAAGATGTTTCTTTTCTGAATAAATGAAACGTTATAGTTTCATAAAATACTTACACGTATGAATGTATTTAACTATTATTTGTTTTAATAGTAATCGATTATTAAAAGATGTAGCTTGTAAATACTTTTTTCAAGTGAGACATGAGGTTGAAATAATAATTAACTAACTAAACCATATTATTATCATTAACATGAAATCAATGATTACCATGAATAATACTGGGATGGTGACAGCCCTGTCAGAAATCGTAGTACTTGTACCTCAGCTTTGGAGTTACACTTCCTTTAACTGAAGGTAATACATCTTCTGATGTGTTTTCCATGTCTGCAGTTTGATTTACTGAAAGAAAACCCAGAGCTGCTGTTGCAGTTGTTCTCAGTGAAGGTTTATGGAGGAAGTGAACTGGAGGCGCTGCAGTTAATCTAATGCACATTTACAGACATGTGGTTCCTCACTCACTTTAAAGTATTTGGAGCATTTTGTTCAGAACAGCTCCGATAAAAAAGGTTTTGCAGGAAGATGATCGGCTCTGTGCTTGAAGCGTGTTCGCAGAATTAAACCCAGTAAAAACCGAGGATTCTGTTTATTGTATCTGAACGTCAGTTGGACTCTGCTGCAGCGACTCGGTTCAACCACTCGACGTCTGAAAGACAGAGAATCTCTCCTCACGTGTCCTCAGGATTCTTCAGTTCACTTATAAAGAAGAAGAAATGTGAAGCTACTGCAGCCGGTTGGTTTAGCTTTGCACAAAGTCCGAGGGTGCGGACACGGCTAGCTGCCTTTGTCCAAACTCACAAAATATAATTACTACAATTATTAATGAGCGTTTAGAGGCGTCGCTTCCATTCGTGATGCTAAGCAGACTATGCTAAGCTAGCCCAGCTGCCTCCTGCTGAACGTGGTATAAACCAGAAACTATAAATATTATAAACTGTCTCTGACCTTAAAGGAGCCACATGCTACCATTGCTATCGCTACATAGCAACTGTTTGCAAATACAGATGTTAAACTGTAGCAACAAACTTTATTATGTCACAACAGCTGCGTCCAGATGTGGAAAACTTTTTTATTTTATTTATTATTCTTTGTCATTTTACAAAAGAGTGTTAGCATCATTTGTTGTAACGAGCTAACGCAGCAGCTTTGTGTGCGTTCGTTTACCAGCGCTTACAGTCGAGCTAACAGGTTGCAGTTTCACCTCTCCTCCTCCAGATGGTGCCATATTTACAAGTCAAAGTTGTTCAGAGTTTTCTGTCTTTGTTTATTCAGTTTTAGTTTTAACACTTTCACGTGTTTTCATCCAGTTAAACGAGGAAATGTCCAAGATCGTCTCCAGGGTGCTGGACAACTACCCCGGAACCAACTCCAGCACAGAGCAGGCGTGGGACTTCATCCAGAGGAACGTGAGTCATCCGACCACGAACACGTGATCGTCTTCTGTCACAGACGATAAAACTTAACTTTAAACTTGTTTCTTTATTCTAGAGCAGCGGCCGACTTTATTCTGGTTTGTTTCAAGCTGCTGAGAATTTACTTCAGGAGATTTGTACTGGAAAAAATATTTAAATCCACTTTGGCAAAGTACTTTTACTGCAGAACGAGGCTCCGAACTGATTTTTGTTGAATTGATTCACTTCATGTTCATGTGGTTCAGTTAGTTTTGTGCAAAATGATAGATTTAGATTCGAGCTTTCAGAGAAAAGAAGTAAATTAAAGTTCTGCAGAAATGTTGATGTTCGGTTTTATTTCTCAAACTTAAAGAAATTGCGTTTGTGTTTTTTTCTACTGAGGCTGAAGCTTACAAAACCAACAAGGCTGTGATGTCTGTGATGTCTGTGATGTCTGTCGTCCTGTGTGTAGATGGAGTGCTGTGGCTGGAGCTCTCATCTCGACTGGAATGGAAACATGGTGATCGTCAACAGCTCCCAGCTGCTGTTCCCCTGCTCCTGCCAGAACATCTCGCTCGTAGCAGGAAACTTCTCCGACAGCGGATTCTGTGAGGCTCAGACGCCCGACTGGCCCGTATACGACGTGGTAAACAGCGTTTTCTCTTCTTCTCACACGTTCACTCCTCCCTCGCTCTGCTCATCGCTCGTTCTTCTGCTCCTCTGTTCATCAGGGCTGTTCTGCCAGTGTGGAGAGCTGGCTCCTCACCAACATCGGCGTAGTGCTGGGTATCTGCCTGGGGGTGGCGCTCATCGAGGTACGCTGACGTCATTGTTCGTTAACGTGATTTTAACGAGATGTTTTCATGAACCCTGCCCAAAGGTGTGTTGAAGCCTGCAGCATCCCCTACTGGCAAGGGGCTGCAGCTGCAAGACAAATACATTTGAAATAAAAACCCTTTTTATTTCATTTTCATCTTTGATTTAATTTCAGAACCTTCAGTGTTTTCTGTGTTTTCAGTCTGATCCATGTAAAATGTGATGGCACCAACACGAGGCCTGAGAGGAGTTTAATGTTAATATTTATTTATTTATATTTAGTTTTCAACTTGTGACATGTTTAAAACTGGTTTCAAATGTTGTTTGAGCTGAAGCAGGTGTTTGTCATGATGTCATCACGTGTTTGTCATGATGTCATCACGTGTTTGTCATGATGTCATCACATGTTTCACGTGTTTCCTCTGATGACACCTGTGATCTGTTTGTTTGCAGCTGCTGGGGATGATCTTGTCCATGTGCCTGTGCAGGAGCGTTCACAAGGAGGATTACACCAAAGTGCCAAAGTACTGAAGCTGAACTGCAACAAGAACGAGGCAGAAAGAAAAACGAGTTTTCCACCTGAAAACATCAGTGAAACATTTTGTCTAAATGTAAAATAATGTGTTTACTTCCATCTTTTATTTTTTTAATCGTCAGTCCAGTTTCTTTGGAGCACTTTAGAAATCTTTGATGTTTTGAACTTTGGATTAGAGAGCGGAGCTGAGACGTTGGTGACCAGAGGAAAACATGTTGGTTGAGTAAAAGTAGGAGGAAGAGTGAAATATGACGTGTCACCACATGCTTAGATTTTTTATTCTGTGTTTCTCGTTCAATTCAGTTTTATTTTCCAGAGAAAACAGAAGAGAAATCACGTTTGTCAAGACACAAAATGTTTTTTAAGGACGTCTGATTTGGACATTTGGAGAATAGTTCTTTTTTAAATACATGATTTGTGAAATGTTTTTAGTATTTTGTACATAATAATTTTAGTCATTTATTATTTAGTGGCTTTGATTCCAAAAAGAAAAAGACACACCGGTGTTTTCATTAGCAGCTGGTTTCTCCCTGAACGTTTTAGGTTTATTCATTTTAATCATCAGGGTTTTGTTCTGGAAATAATAGAAATAATGAGGTACTAAATACTGATACTTGTTTTCTACAAGTATCACTCTCAGTTTACAACCAGCAAAAATGAGATATTTATTTTGACGATACTGTAGCTTTAAGTTTGTGCTTGACCCACCCCAATGTCTTTTTCACCACTTCTGAAGTCTGTGAAAAATATGAAAACATTTACATTTCCACAACAAGTAGTTTAGGAGCGAATTGAATATTCATCCTCGAGAAAACAAAATGAGTTTATATATAAAGTTTCATTTTAGATTTTTAACATTGAGTCGAGACCTGTTTTTATTTTAATGTTTTCTTTGTACAGTTTGAAAAACGTTCCATTAACCTTTAATCTCTGAGATAAAAGGCTTTGTAACTCGGGTTCGTGGCTCTGTAGCTGGATTAGTACGTGTGTGCTCACTACATTTATTCTGTTCCACTTTCACAATAAACTGATGTCAGAAGTTTGTTGTTTCTGATTTTACATGTATGAAAATACAACTTTAATGTTTACTTCCTGTTGACTGCAGGAAAGTGACAAAGTAAATAAATAGATGAGAATGACGGAGCTGGGAAAACCCTGTAGTTCCAGTTCTGACCACTGGAGGACAGTGTCACTATGTAAAAACCTCGTCAGATGCTTTTATTCTGAAAATAAAAGAAACAGTCCAGAGAAAAGTGGTGAAAGTTTTCAAACTGATGAAGAGTAAATGAAAAGACATGAAATGAAAAGTTCAGTGAAGAACAGATGAGCAGTTTTTATAGATTTCAGATTTGTTTATATACAAAGTATTCACATGATTTAAAACATATATGACACAGAACAAGAACATTATTCACTTTTATTCTGGTCCAAGTTTCAAATATTACAATTAAAGTTTAAAGAAATGATCGTTTTTTGTTTGCTGACAAACAAGTGATGATGAGGTAATGACAGAGTCCTTCATCCTCCTCAGAGTCCTTCATCCTCTTCAGAGTCCTTCCTCTTCCTCAGAGTCCTTCCTTCCTTCCTCAGAGTCCTTCCTTCCTTCCTCAGAGTCCTTCATCCTCAGAGTCCTTCATCCTCAGAGTCCTTCCTTCCTTCCTTAGAGTCCTTCCTTCCTTCCTCAGAGTCCTTCATCCTCAGAGTCCTTCCTTCCTTCCTCAGAGTCCTTCATCCTCAGAGTCCTTCCTCTTCCTCAGAGTCCTTCCTCTTCCTCAGAGTCCTTCCTCCTCACAGCTCCTCCGCTGACATGTCAGGGTTCCGGTTCTAATCTTCAGCTGCTTAGTGACGAACTGTTTAAATCACAGACTGTAAATAAAGATGGACGACATGACCGCCCCCTGGAGGCTGGCTACAGCAGCGCTCATAAACCTCAACCTCCTCCATGTTAGCAGACGGACCAAACTAAAAAATCAAAGTACGTTTAGTAAAGATGTTTCTGTCGTTTCAGCTCGTTCTTCTCTCTCTGATGTTTGTTGGTTCTGATCAGTTTGGTTTAATTAGTTATTTGATGATATAAAAACAGGCGGAGACGTCATGATTGACAGCTGGGACTGACTCCTGATTGGTCGAGGGATACTACACAGATGCATCTGGGGATCAAACTGGACAGTTATTGGCAGCTAAAGAAAAACGAGTGGACGTAATGTGTCCGTATTGAAGAATAGTGTCTCTCTGCTGATTGGACGACACCTCTGACACACCCACTAAAGACAGAATCTAAACCTCTCGTCGAATCAGAGGAAACAAGTTGTGTCTCTCAAATGTTTTCAGCCTCGGTTTCAAAGGAGATGAAAGACTGAGCTCTGATTGGTCGACTGCATGTGATGCCCCCCCCTCGGCTTCAGACTTCAGATCTGTTCTATGCACACGATGTATTTTGTCTTTCAGCTTCAGGTTTGAGAGAATATTTTAACATTCAAGAATTCAAGTCACATATTTTCTGAAGGTTCTGTTCTCCTGAGGAAACACAGTCTGATGAAACCTCCTGTGATGGATCCTGCTGCTGCTGCTCTCTCACCCGCTGAGGAAGCAGGAAGTCTGCTGCATAATTTACAGTCTCAACTGCTGCAGGTCCGTCACAACAAAGCTGTTAATCTGGGATTGCAGCAGGGAGATGTTCCTCAGGACTGAAGCTGTGGACGTCAGTTGGACCCCCCCCATGGAGGAGGTGCTGAGTGGAGGTCTCGCTCCTCTTCATCACTGCTGGACTCCCGGCGTCCTGGACTTCTTCTGCCAGATGGTGCAGCTCTGACGGTGCAGGGAACCTCGGGTTTGTTCTCAGCTCGGAAGCATGAGGACGACACTCAGCCCCAAACCCTGTGAACTCAAACATCAGGGTGAGACGTTGAATAATGAACGTTTATCACTGTCGTTATATAAAGTTAGGACGTGTCTCTGTCGGTCTCAGTGAAGTGATGAAGGGTTTTCATGTAAAGTGAATCAATGTGTTGAGCTCTGACTGTGTCCCCCACTGAAACACTGGATATTACCCACAATCCTCTGCTTCCTGACCCAGAAGAGCTGCTGCTGTAACAAATCCACCAAACTCTGTTCAGAGTTCTTCATGATTTAAAGTTTCCTGCTGAACACTGGAGATAAAGTCTGGTTGTTAAGAACTTCTCCGTGTTTCTAACTGAGCTTCAGTTCAAACTCACTGAGGTGACGTGCTGACCTCCTGAGTTTATCTCTTCAGAACAGAACCCACATCTGGACTCTGACCGGTCACATTATTCTGTAAAAAACTGTGCTTCTGATCATGCTTTTATTGTGAAATCAGGATGTA